TATAGTTTCGTCCGATTTTTGAACGAATTTCGGTATAGCGTACTGAATTAAGTCTAGACTGATGTGTGCTAAGTTTCTTGATAATCAGTTCAGATTTACATATACCTCTTATATATATTTTCGTCCGATTTGAAGTATATGGTGCACTAAAGATCCATAGCTAGGCCGATTGACACAATGTACTGAAGTTAATGTAAGTTACTTCCATATATAATTTTGATCTATTGATGTTAATTGTACGCCAAATAATCAATGGGTGTCTGCTTGATATTAAATTTTAAACAGTGCAGCATGCCAAATAGTGTGTGTCAAATTTGCTTTTAATCGATTTACAAAATTTACATATAGATAAAGATCACATATATCATATCACATATATATATATATATATATATATATATATTTCATCTCACGTGAATGTTTCTTTGAACAAACGACGTCTGTTAGGATACATATGTTGAATTTTACCATTGATAAATCAAATTAGAGCGAATTCGGTTGAAAAGTATGTCTAAACCCCCCAAAATATCGAATAATTAGAGAGATTTCCTACTCAATGAGAATCCAAAATATAAAAATACAGCTAATTTGGTTAAAGCATGTGTCCAAGCTCCCTATAATACCGAAATTTAGGATGTTGCGTTATATAGGCGAAGAGAACCTCGAGAACACTTAAAATCAATTTAAAGTCAATTCGGTTAAAAACGTGCCCAAAAAACCGGGTACCCCATTACATGGTAGCTACCTGGAAAAATGGGCCAATATATAACATTTTTTGATGGGAGATTTTCTACTTAATGAGAATCCATCCCCATCATTATTGGAAAGGAAATTTGATACCCAATAAGAAGCAAACGTAGCAAATTACAACCAATTCGGCTGAAATATTTGTCAAAAATCTCTATAATACCGAATATTTTGTGGGGAAGATACCACTTATGGTGGAAGTAATTCATTTATTTAATTAACTAATTATTTTTATAATTTTGTGTTCCTCCTCTACAACGGAAACACCTCATTTATTATACTAGGCGGAATTTCCAAACTGAGAAGCTGCAATTTCATCACATTTCCAAATTTATCTCAGTCCACTTATATATACCTTTGAAACCAGCTTTAACTTTATTGTCAACATTTTCAGTTCGTTCACCCAATGCCATGCGACTTATTAAATTATTAGCGTGAATATGGATCGAAATGGCCAACCATCGGATGAAAGTGATAATGTATTTGTTTTTCGGTCCAAATTTGGTCCGAAATGTCCAAAAACGGCAACATTGCACTTCAACCCATTGTGTAAAAGCAATGGGGCTGCTACAAAAACAATGTCCTGCAACTTTCTATTCTCAATCCTGCATTCTCTACACATCCTTGCCTTCCGACATCACATCGTTATATTAACTCAGCACATCAACATCGAACTCCACATCAAAGAATCTATCTCCAAATTAAGAATCTATCTGCACAATTTCATCACCTAATACAAATTACACCTAAAACCAACTGAATTTAGTACTATTTAGTGCCTTTACATTATGCACAGCTATCTCTGGTTTCCTCGACAGTGGAATCTACAATTCGAAATGATCCGAAATGATAATTCATAGGCAAAATTCAGGATACTAAAAAAATTTAAAACCAGTGAGCGGAGCAGTATAGTCGGACGGGGCCGACCATATGATACCCTACACAACTTCCACGAAAACTAACTAACTTTCTGTGGTTATATATTCTGAGCATGGAAAATATTTCCATATATTTACACCCTCTTGACCGACTAGAGGTCAACAAATATTACTAATATTCAGTAAATCCCTTCTCAGTACTTGTCCAGATTCCCTTCACGGTGGGTTGTGTTATGATGTTCGACTTTCAATTGTGGACTATATATGGACTAGAAAAAACACAAAAAATTAAGTTTTCGGTCCACCTCATCCCAATATTATTATCTGATCATCACCGAAAATTATAGGCGTTATCCTTGACCATTCCTGGATCCTCATGGAAATTTTCAAAGCGTTCCGCGCTGTATTTCCGCCTCCAGTGTGGTAATGTGTAACTAAATAATATCTAGTACATAAGCACCTGTAAATATTTAAATGTAACTCCCGCATCCGAGTACATACCACAATCTAATTGGTATCAATTTAAAGGTCAACCACTGCTCTTGGATATACTAGGTCATTCAGGAGTAAATATATACGCTATAGAATACAAATTTTATCATTTTTCACACAAAAGTTAGGGTCCATTTGACCCGCTAAATATTGATCGATCTTTATCAAAACAGGCATGCTTATTCTTTGGCCCAATCCCCTTCTCCATGAAAAAATTCGCGGTGTTTGGGCCATAATTGCGGCCTCTGGAGCGACCAGAAAATCAGACAACAATTTAGTTTTTTTGGTCCATTTCATCCCCTAAATATTAACCGATCTTTACCAAAAACAATAGGGGTCTTCATTGGGCAGAACCCATCCTACATGCAAAATTTCGTGAAGATTGGTCCATAACTGCGGCCTGTATCGTGTTTACAAATTATAATGGACAGACGGACACACATGTCTAGATCGACTCAGCTAGTCGAGATATGACGATCGGTACACTTAAAGATGGGTCTAGGACCAATATTTCGCGGCGTTACAAACTCTTGGGGCTGCACAAAGCTATAATACCCTGACAACATAGTTGTGTAGGGTATAATTATTACACAATACAATTATTACATAATTTTGTACACCGATATTCCCCTTTTGATTCGTTCAGTGATTCCATACGTGCCTCTGTAATAATTCAAACATAAGCACACTAACTAAAATTCAATAAAAATGCTTTATTAGTTTTTTTTATTATCAATAATTTTGGTAGACTAGAAAGTAATCTTCTGTAAAGAAAATATTCTGTATTCGTTGAAGCTGACATAAAATAAAGATATACACAGAAAGTATTTATTGCACACTTTTAGTTCAAAAAGTTAAAAAAAACTATTTTTAAGCGGCATTATTATTTATTTATTTTTTGTAGTTTTTGTACCACTTGTTTACAAATTTTCAAAAATTATTATTGTAAAGCATCCCATATGTAAAATTATATACTATATATATGAAATCTTTGGTCCATTACTCTCCTCTCCATAGTTACTTGCCAAGAAATATTACTGTATTATCTGTGGTTCCGAAATATCTCACTTAGGTCCTCTTATTTTTCTATAAATCAATGTTATTCGTTTTTCCAAAGTACTAACGATGTCAATCTAAGCTTTTACAGTTGGACTTGCATTCGTTGGCTATTTGGTAGCTCCAATAAAATATCTTTAAATCTTAAAAGATGCTATAACTATTAAGATCTCCTACGATCTAGGAGTAATATTAGACCCAAACTGAGTTTTAATGTTCAAGTAACATATTCTCTAAATTACTTAATTGATTTCTACATCGTGGTTTTATTTTGGTTTATTTATGTGATTTAAAAATAATAACCGATATATTTCCATCAATATTCTAAATTAATTAAATCAAGTCATCATATATATTCAAAATAAATCTAAAACGTACAATACAATTTTACACACTGTGTGCTAACTAATGCATTCTGATTGCATTTTTAATTTTAAACATTTGTTTTATATACATTTTTGCTTAAAATGGAAATGACAACACCAAAGAATAGCAGCAAACCAAAATAAAAATGAAAACAAAAATAAAATTTCTCACACAAACCAAAAATCCATACAAAAACACCTTCTATACGTGTGGTATGACTAATATTGCAAATTTATGAAATCTTTTTTTTTTTTTTTTTGAGAAGTGGGTATAAAAGATAAAACTGCATTTTACTGATGAGATACTACATGTAGTTGTTGTGCCGTCCAAAGGCTTTTAACGCTTTTCTGTTAAGTGTGATGTCATAACATCTACATTTTTGTTAATTTCAAATCGATAACAATTAATAATAGTGACGCAATGCCACTCTATAATCGTAATATTATTTAAAATGTACACTAATTTTATTACAGTCATAAAAAAAATACTACAGACAACAAATTGTATTTTCTTTTCCCACTAAAAATGCAATTACTTTTATGATTATGATTTCTGAATTTACTCCCTAAAATATTCTCAAACATTTTTCCTCTAGTATAAACAGACTTTATCTTTATACAAGGCAAAGAGACTCACTTTGGATATGACCTCCCATTAACAAACATAAAATCTCAACTTAACATCTATTCAAAAACGATTACAGGGAAAATTCTGTATAGAGTTTTTCCAATAAAGAATGTTCTGGGAAAACGAATATTCAACAAAAGTTTCTAGTTCTGATGGGGTATATCTATTGCTGCGGTTAAGAGTTACATTTTTCATAACGGGTTTCATCAGTACATCTTTAGTTCTTTAACGACTTATCCGATTTAAATATTGAAATTTGGTCGATTTTCCTCTCAAACTCTGTCGCTTTTTCTTTTAGTTGTTGTGTCGGGAGGTTAATTCAATTAAAAGCGAAACGGATTTATGCCGCTGAAGCAAATGTTAAAAGGAACGCCAAGTCTTTTTGTAGGCCGTGGCATTTTAATTAAAAATCCTCGTGATCAGTTGCCTGGATGCACCTCAAGATATTGCACTTTACCCCGAGGTCCATTCACAGCGTCCTCAATTACTTAAAATTAACCTCATATTTAAATCCCAGACGTTTTTCCAACTCATTAGAATGTTGAAACTTGTGCTACTACGCAACAATCGTTTCGAATTTAGTCAAGAGGTCGAGACAGAAATGTAAAAATACACCTTAGCCAAGACAGCTAAACGTAAACAGTGACAGAGTTAGGGGTTCATAGGCAACTCTTCAAGACAATCTTCGACATAAACTATCCGGCAGTACTTGAAAACTGATAAACAAAATTTGTTGACAAACTATCAAATTTTTTCACATTTTCAAAATATTCAATAGTTGTTGCTAATGATTTAAGTATTGTTTCTAACTCAATTTTTTTCTTCTAATTACAGGTAAAAATTCCCTGGAACATCGAGCCAATTCCAAATTTGAAAAACCACTCGACTACATAGAGTACCTGCGTAATGGCGAACACAGTGAACCAAAAATTTATGCCTGCCTTGAAAGTTTACGTGTTGCCCTCACAAATAATCCACTGTCGTGGATTAAGGAATTCGGTGAGGAGGGTATCGATGAGATTATCAACTTGATGCGACGCTGTAAAAAGGAACAACGTTCCATGGATCGCATTGAACTGGAGTGTATACGATGCCTTAAAGCCATTATGAATAATACATGGGGTTTAAATTTGGTTCTAACGCCGGATCAACATACTGTGGTACTGCTACTGGCGCAATCTCTTGATCCCCGCAAAGTGACTACAATGTGTGAAGCTGTCAAGCTACTGGCCTCATTTTGTTTGGTACATGAACGTAATGGTTACGATAAGGTGCTGCGGGCCATAACAACGGCAGCCTCAACATCGTACAAGTCGGGAGAACGTTTTCGACCCATTGTCGATTCGCTGTTTATATCGGAAAAACTGGATCCACGTCGTGAATTGGCCTGTCATAGTTTAATTTTCATCAATACCCTCACAAATACGCCCAGCGATTTAAATTTCCGTCTCCATCTGCGCTGTGAAATCATGCGTATGGGTCTGTACGCGAAATTCGATGACTTCAAGAAAATGGTGGAGGTGAGCAACAACGATTCCCTGAAACAGCACTTTAAGATATTCAACGAGATACGTGAGGATGATTTCGAGGAGTTTATCCAGCGATTCGACAATGTCATCTATAATATGGATGATGTGACGGATTGTTTTGAGGTTGTAAAGAACTTAGTTACCGATACCCCTGCCGAACCCTATTTCCTGTCGATAATGCAGCATTTGTTGTATATTCGTGATGACTTCTATTACCGGCCAGCATATTATCAATTGATTGAGGAGTGCATATCGCAAATTGTCTTTCACAAAGGTTACTGTGATCCGAATTTCGAAAATCGAAATTTCAATATTGATACCTCACTGCTGCTGGATGACATAGTGGAAAAGACCAAGGCCAAAGAGTCACAACGTGCTGAGGAGTATGAAAAGAAAATTGAGCAGTTGGAAAATGCCAAACAGGAGGCTGAGGCGAAGGTGGCCCTTTTGGAGGAGAAAATCAAGGATATGGAGAAGAATGGTATTGTGGCACAATCGCCAAGTAAATTACCAAAGGTGAATATTCCAATGCCACCACCACCGCCAGGCGGAGCAAGAATGCCGGGTCCGCCACCACCTCCTCCGCCACCAGGTATGGGTGGTGGCCCAGCACCTCCCCCACCACCACCTCCACCGGGTATGGGTGGTATACGTGGTCCACCACCGCCCCCAATGCCTGGTATGGGAGGTGGTCCTCCACCACCACCAATGCCCGGCATGGCTGGAGGTCCCCGACCACCACCACCAATGATGATGCCAATGGCGCCGGTCTTGCCACATGGCCTTAAACCCAAAAAGAAGTGGGAAGTTAAAAATCCCATGAAACGTGCCAATTGGAAAGCCATTGTTCCCCAAAAGATGTCGGAGAAATCATTTTGGGTTAAATGTGAAGAAGATAAGTTGGCCTCGGATGATTTACTTGCCGAATTGGCTCTCAAATTCTCTTCCAAACCCATAAAGAAGGATCAAAAGGATTCTGTGGATAAACCCACAACGTTAACAAAGAAGACAATTGACTTGAGAGTTTTGGATGGTAAATCGGCACAGAATTTGCTAATTCTATTGGGTGGTTCCCTGAAGCATTTGTCATATGAACAAATCAAGATTTGTCTGTTACGCTGTGATACTGATATTTTGTCTTCCAATATTCTGCAACAATTGATACAATATTTGCCGCCACCAGAGCAATTGAAGAGATTGCAGGAGATCAAGGCCAAAGGTGAACCTCTACCGCCCATAGAACAGTTTGCAGCAACGATAGGTAAGTGAGGGCAGAGTAATATTCGTTTTCCAGGATAATAACGTTTCCCTTCCATTTTGCAGGTGAAATTAAACGACTCTCGCCACGTCTACACAATCTCAACTTTAAGTTAACCTTTAACGATATGGTTCAGGACATTAAGCCGGATATTGTTGCGGGCACGGCTGCCTGTGAAGAAGTTCGCAACAGCAAAAAATTCTCCAAAATTCTAGAATTGATACTCCTTATGGGTAATTACATGAATTCTGGCTCAAAGAATGAATTAGCCTATGGCTTTGAAATATCCTATCTAACCAAATTGACAAACACCAAGGATGCGGAAAATAAACACACACTGTTACACTATTTGGTTGATGTGGTGGAGAAGAAATTCCCTGACGCCTTGACATTCTATGACGATATGTCACATGTCGATAAGGCGTCACGTGTCAATTTGGACACAATACAAAAGTCAATGCGACAAATGAATGCTGCTGTTAAGAATCTTGAAACTGATCTGCAAAATAACAAAGTGCCACAATGTGAGGATGATAAATTCTCAGAAGTAATGAGTAAATTTGCTGCTGATTGTCGACAGCAGGTGGATGTGTTGGGTAAGTGGGAAGGGGGGCAGAGTGTGAAACATTTTAAAAAACATGTGATAAATGAGTGGGACTTCTATACGAAGACCTCTTGATCTTCAGTATTATCAGTACCTCTGGGTCTTTTGTACGAAGACCTCTTGGGTTTCTATACCTATAGTGTTTTCTATACGAAGGCCTCTTAGTCATATATATGAAGTTCACTTTGTCTCCTATACGAAGACCTTTTGCCATCTGTGGAAATATCTTTTGGTCTTCCTTTGGAGGATTTTTTGGGAAGACCATTTGGTTTTCTATTGAAAGACATTTTGGTCTCCTATATGAAGGGCCACTGATTTTTTATGATACACCTTTTGAACTTTCTATACGTAGACTTTTTGATCTTGCATATGAAATCTTTAAATTTTTTATATGATTTTTTTATAGGGTACAGTGTTCTATATTTTCAGAACTTTTTTCAAATAATTCATATTTTTTCATTCTCAATTCCAGGTAAAATGCAAGTACAAATGGAAAGACTATACAAAGAACTTGGCGAATATTTTGCATTCGATCCGGCCAAATACACGATGGAAGAATTCTTTGTCGATATTAAAACCTTTAAGGATGCCTTCCTTCAGGCACATCAAGAGATTCTGCGGCAACGTGAAGAGGAGCAAAAGAAGCGCCGCCTACAAGAGGCACGCGAACAATCGTTGCGTGAACAAATGGAAAGACAGCAACGTAAATTGGCATTGGTCGATATGGATGCAGCTCATGCCCAGGAGGGTGTCATGGACAGTCTGTTGGAGGCATTGCAGACTGGTTCGGCCTTCGGTAGTCGAAACAATCGTCAACAGAGAAGACAACGACCGGCTGGAGCCGAACGTAGGGCACAATTAAGTCGATCGCGGTCGAGGACAAGAGTTGCACCATCCGGTTTAGTGTCACGAGAACTGCTGGCCAATGAAGCATTAATGGGTTCTGCTTAGTTAAACAAATTGTGTTTCCTAAACTCGTGAACTTTGTTTTTGTGTATATATGCATATATATAGATTTTCTTTTAATGTTTTTTTTCTTTTTCTTTCACTTTTTTAAGTTTAACTAAAAAAATCGAAACAAAACGAAAAAAATGCCGCTTGTTTAGTCATTAAGTCATAAAAATAATGCAAAAAATACATTTATTATTATTCTATTATCATTTTTTATAACGACGTGAGATCCTACTATCTACAAAGACCGAACATTGAGATAACTACTATACTTAAATTCTAAACTATTGCTAACTATTTAAAATAAACATTATTTTTATACATCGAAAAAAGAATGTAAATGTAAAAATAAACAGAAAAATAAAAAACAAAACAACAAACATAAAATAATAAATAAATTTATGTTACTATTCTACAGGATGACCAGGACTATTCCGATTTTAGTTAAATGGTATCGAATTTGGCTATTGTGTGACATTATTCATACTAAGAATAACAGAAAAAAAAACTTGTGGGTCAATGTAACACTGATGGTCAGGTCAGTTATAGCAAAATTATCGTTAACAGAATCATGTGACAAAGACAAGATTTTTAATATTACTTTATTGGATATAAAATAAAATTAATATTGGCTACATCTAAACATCCTACAAGAGTTAAGGTCCGTTGGAGCAATATTTTCTTAATCAGTAGGTAAAATACTAAGAGACTGCTAGTTTCATACATACATAGTGCTAGGGCTTAGGCCAGCATCAACATTATTAAAAAAAAATATTAATGAAAATAATTAACACACAATTTTTAAAGCAAATATAATTTAAAATTTATACACAAAAATAATGTATCCGATTTAACGATTATAAGAAAACAACTCCGTATGAAAAGTGATCAATTTACGTTGACAGATTTGTATGCCCTCCACCCACTATATTAAGTTCCGCGTGTCTGCCTTTGGTAGAGAATCCATATTCCCAATATAGCGGTTTCCTCAATTTTCGATGATTTGGAAATTTACCTAAATTTTGTTTTTTTAGATTCTCCCTAGGTACTAAATATTATCAAAGTGGCATACTCTTTGGATGGTATTTGAGAATGTCTGTCAACGCAAATGGGTGTAACTCGATATTTGAAACGCATTTCGCATGGAGCCGATCATATGATCCCTTAAATATTTACCGATCATTACCAATTGTTACAATAGGGGTCTTCTTCGTCCAAAACCTATCCTACATGCAAAATTTCATGGCGATTGGTCCATAACTGTGGCCTTTATCGTGTTTACAAATTATAACGGACAGGCGGCACACAGGTGTAGATCGACATGGTATATCCTCCAAAAATCCAGAATTCGAAATGCTAATTTCTTCGATTGGAATATGTAGCTATATACGACATTTAAAATACGAAAAATCGGGCGATGTAGTTATAATGGAGCTATACACAGACATGTAAATATATTGAAATTCCTGTACAAATACCCATCAAGAAGAACGTGGGAATGTTGAATTACAGCACTTCATTGGAAAATACACCATGAACCATAAACATTGGGTGTGAAGGAGGATTTAACATTTTCAGCAAATAAGTTTTTCACTTACTCAGAACCCGTGGTGGAAAGTTATACCCACTTATTGGCAAATGTGCCTAGGACAATGAAAGAATTTGGCCCAAGGACAAAACCTATTGAAATTGATGAAAATCGGTTCAGATTTAGATATAGCTCCCATATTTAGCTTCGTCCGATTTTATGTAAATGGTACATCAAAGTCCCTATATATCTTTCGATTTGCACGAAATTTGGCATGGGGTACTGAATTAGATCCAGGATGATGTGTGCTACGTTTCGTAAAAATCGATTCAGATATAGATATAGCTCCCATATATAATTTCATCATCCGATTTTATGGAAATGGTGCACCAAAATCCCTATATATGTTTCGATTTGTATGAAATTTTGCACAGTGTATTGAATTGAGTATAGAATGACGTGTTTTAAGTTTCGAGAAAATCGGGTCAGATTTAGATATAGCTCCAATATATATTTTCGTCCAATTTAAGGTAAATGGGACACTAAAGTCAATATATGTTTCGATTTGCACGAATTTTGATATTGCGCACTTAATCAAGCCGCGAATGATGTGTGCAAAGTTTCGTGAAAATTGGTTCAGATTTAGATATAGCTCCCATATATATTTTCGTCCGATTTTATGTTAACTCCCCGAATTCCAATTTTTGTCCGATTGAGACAAACGTATGGCATAGCATGTGAAATTGAAAGTAGGATAGAGTGTGTGAAGTTTCATTGAAATGGGATCAGATATATATATATATATTCGAAGTCTCCCCGATTAGCCAGGAAATTTTCATAGATGTAAGGATCGTATGTGCCAGATACTACAGTATCTCAAAAAATTGTGGTATTTTAAGGATTTTGGACACGTTTCAAACGAATTGTCTGCAATTTCATGTTTTGTTTTCTGATTGCCTATTAACAGTAATCAAAATTGGTCCACGTTGGCCAAACTTAATGTCTTGTTTTTTGTTGTTTTTTTTTTTACTTTGGAGAGAAACCAATTTCCAAAAATAAGGCTTTTTCGTCACCGCGACGCCATCTATTGTTAGTACAAACAACTATAAATTACGTATACGCATTCCTGTCCGAGGTGATTGTACTGACTAAGCAGGAAATGATTAAATAATACGATTACTACTGTTATCGATTATTTCATTTTTTATTTACAATCGTTTTGCTATTTTGGAAATTATCGATTAATTCCAACCAACTGTTTGCCGGGGTACGACAGACGGGCCAACAACAACACACAACAACATTGGCTGGCTGGTTGGCTGTTTGTATGGGCCAGCAAGCAAATGCATGTGCCAATGTAGTAGTAGTTCGAACAGTTCAATCGTAACGATAAGAACAAAACAGCGACTTTACGGCTGAATGACGGTTGGGGTTGTCGGTCGGAACGGTCAAAATATCAAAACGAAAACAAACATAAAATAAGAAAATAAAGTTTGGTTTATTGTTTTGAAACATAAAACAACAAGAATTAAGAATTCCAAAATCAAAAATTAAGTCGGAATTTGTGTTAAACGAAAATAAGAAGAAGAAGCGTTATTGGTAAAAGAATTAAAAAAATAAATCAAACAAAAATCCGATTGGAAGAAAATTGAATTGAAAAGAATTGATGGAAAGGAAGGGAGAGAGAGAGAACGTAAAAAAGAAATTCAAAATTTTCGGCGGTCAATGGCATTGAGAGTTGATATGAAACACCTTTACCACGAAGAAGAACAAGAAGCGGGTCAAATTCGAAACAACAATTAATTGTTCTTTGTTTGTTGTATTGTATAGCGCGTTTTGACTTTCAAAATGATTGTGATTAAATCATCAGAAAATATTAAAAAATAAAGCAGAATGAAAGCGAAAAAATGTGATAAAATAATGTCCAAAATATTAAATAATCAACAGGTGGTTGCTAGGTTGTCTAATTTTTTCTGTTAATATCTCTTATCAAATATAATAAAAACATTTTTGAAAATAACTAACTAAACAAAAATTCCTATATATTGTGTGTGTGTTTTCTTTTTAAAAAATAATAAATATTAAAAACAAAAAAAAAAAAAAAATAATAATAATAAAAACACGAAAACTACGACACAATTATAATTCTCAATAAGTCTCCATTGATCGCTGCTGATAAAAAAGTTTTCTAACGTCGCTCTTGTTGTTGTTGTACTTTCTTAACCAAGTACAAAAACAACAACAACAAGAACGCCGCCGGATACGTTGAAAAATTCATAATTATCGTCGTCGTTGAGATACAAAAAAAAATACCAACCAGTTGGTGACGTTGTGAATGACGCTCCCCCTCCTCGCCCCCAACCAACCCGCCGCGAACGAACGTGGTATGAGTGATCACAACAAATATTTGTTGTTGCTGTAGTTGTTGTTATTGCCGCTGCTGCTGCTTCACCTTTATAATTTGCTCGTTTTGAATGTTGGTGTTGTTGTTGTTGCTTTAAACGTGCTGTTGCTGTTCGGCTGTTGTTGTTTGCTGGTGCCGTTTTGAAGCCAAGGAATCACCACAGCTCAAGTATGAATCATCCAAAGGTGTCATTCATTAAAAAGAAAAAAAAAAACGTAATATAAAATTCTTAATTTATTAATTTTTATTTTAAGAAAACAAACAACAAAACTTGTTTATTACATATGTTGGATTTCAATAAAAAAAACTGCGAAGATTGGTTCATTTTAATGCGGAAATTTTATGAGTGATCGGGTTGAGAGTGAATTAAAACTTTAAATAGTTTATCGATAAGAAATTTTTAAAACGAGTAAAAATGACGATAAGTCCTACCAAAATTCGGAATCGGGATTTAAATTGATGACAGTCCATGGTAAATTGCTGGCAATTGGAAGCGATATTTCAAACTACATACTCTCAGGTTGGAGAATTGGACTAGGATGTGGGCAGATATAAATAAGTTTTGATTAGCACGACTTGACCCCCATGAGAATCAAAAATATCAAACAAGAAAAAATTCTGTTGAAAACTAATATACATTTCGTAAAATACCGAATAATGGGGTGGTACACCATTATATACCCTGAAACTTGGACCAATAACTACCCAATGAAACCCCAAAATATATAACTGCAAAAATTTCGGTTATAAACAAACTCTCCAAATTTCGGATTTACTCTAAAAATGGGTCAATATTAATAATTATTAAGAAAAAAATTTGCATCTTACAAGAAAATAAAATACAAAACTAAAATCAATTCGAATAAAAAATGAACTTTCGAAAAAGCCCGACATGACTACTCTAGATAATAAAACAATATGAAGAGAACCCATGATACATAATTTTTGCGAATTCGATTAATAACCTTGACACAATACCTAATAATGGGGAATATTGTTGCATGGGGTCTACCTTGAAACTTGGACTAACATTGATAATTTTTGTAGGGAGATTTTCTGCTGAATGATAATCCAAAATATTATATTAAAGTCAATTTGGATGAAAAACGTGCCCAATCACCCGAAACGACTGAAATAGGGAAT